CACCTTTAACATTTTTGCAAATCGATACATGATTGACGGTTCCGTTATAAAAACCTAACGAAAATCTGACATGACATTGACGTGGATCAGTGCCATGTCAGATTCTCCTAAACGGAACCGTCATTCCTCTATCGATTTGCAAAAATGGTAAAGGTGGTGTATTAAAGATGGTGAGTAAATTTTTAGGTGATGTATTAATATGCAATTTTGCCTCGTTAAATATTGTATAAAAACCTGGCTTATTTGCTCTCCATTAGCAGCATCATTTCCAGCAAAATCTTCTGAACAAAATTGTTTGTACCTCTGAATAGTTCTTCTTGCTCTAAGCCAAGAGTACATATACAGGATCAGCCTAGAGTACAACATGGCTAAGCCAAGAATTTTATTATTATTATTATTATTATTATTATTATTATTATTATTATTATTATTATTATTATTATTATTATTATTATTATTATTTCCTTGACACCAAAATCTACATACAATAATGCAAGTAATTAGCTATATTAATGCATATTTCCAAAAGAAGGTATGTTGTTGGCCTTCTTTTTTGATCTTTTACTCTCTTCTACACTTCTACGTGATAATAGCTAGCTATATATTTTTTTTTTTCTGGTGAATAAATTACCCGATATTGCTCCCAAAGTCGTACAACTTCCCTTGGCCGGAGAAGATTATCAAAGCAACCTCGGCATCACAAAGAACAGAAATCTCTTGAGCTTTCTTCAACAAACCGCTCTTTCTCTTTCCGAACGTCACTTGCCTGTTCACCTTATTCTCGATCTTCTCCAACACCACTTTCCCTCGTCCCATTTTGATCCGACCCTTTCTCTCGCCTAATTTGAGCTACATTTATATATACTAATGCAAAAACCCTAACACGACATACACGCGTGAAAATGAACAGTGCCGAACGAGTAAATGACACAACATGCAAAACTTTAATTAAGAGAGAAACTAGGGTTTTATGTTAGTTGTAAAGATTTATTGGACTTAGGGTACGTACATTCGTTCGTACTTGGAAAGATGAATTTTTCGGCTCGGGCGAACGATTTGGGTTGGCGTGGTAGCTTCTTGGCCATTTGCCTTTTGAATGCATTAAATTTTCAGTAGTTGGTTTTCTCTTTTAGAGCTTTTTGTAGGTTGGGTTTTGCTAGAGAGATATGAACTAGGAAATCAGTTAAAGGTGACTAGGTGAGAGATGAGGAAGAAGATATATAGTAATGTACTGTTGTATCCTTTTATTGTTGACTTGCTCATGGTTTGTTTTTTTTGGGGGCTGTGGTATCTGGACTGGTGTGAGCACTGTAACATGGGCCTAGTATGCCAAGGGTTACGAAGAAAATGTGGCTCGTGTGATGTGATGGGATGTCTCGTGGCCCGTCAAAGCTCGCTGCCCGTTAACGCGGTGGGTGTGGTTGCGATTGGATATTAGAATTTTTCGAAAAATTTTGTGTCGGTCAGAAAAGAAGAGATTCGAAAAGCAAAAAATTATTATCCGTGGAACATGTGAATTGATAATAGTGTTTTTTACCCCCGAGACCGATCTGGGTGGCTTATTTGGACCGGGTAGCAAGGGACCTAGTCAAATCTGGTCGACTCGGGTATTGACCCGGCTAAGTCAACTCGGTTTGACACGGTCATTAATATATATATTTTTTTTTTATTTTTATAAATAAAATTATACATATCTGTATATATATATTTATGGGATAAATATTTATGACAAAATACAAGACTTTAAGGTAAACAATTTGATTTTATTATATTGTTATAAAGTAAAAGTACAATAAATGTAATTTAAAATTTTTATAAAATTAATTACCCATTCAACAATTGACCTGGTGACTCGAAGTTCAACCCGGGGTCAATCAT